CTGTGACCACAGAAATCAACTCTAGTACCATTGTATCTACAACCACAGATTCTGTTACTTTGACTTCAGATATTACAGTGACATCTACACAGTTGTTGTCTGGTACAATTCTTGTTTCAACGCAATCTGTTTCTACTCCAAGTATAATTCCAACTGTATCTACAGAAATGGACACTAGTAATATTGTGTCCACTATCACAGACTCTGTTACAGTATCTGGTACAATCATTGTTCCGACTCAATCAGTATCCACTCCTAGTACTTCTGTACTTCCAACTGTGACCACAGAAATTAGCACTAATAAATCTGATAACATTGTTGTTCCTACATCATTTTCTGTGACTTCATCTACGACTACTAGATCTTTATTGTCATCTGTTTCCAAGGGATTTAGTTCTCTTAGTATTATTTCTTTATCTGTAGAGTCTTTTACTTTGTCTCATTTCCCATCTGATATGATACCATCAATTCCTAACACTCCTACTCTAACAGCTACAATTTCTCCTACTGAAATTTTTATGGCATCCACAGAAATTTATATAACACCTGCTATCATTAGTTCCGTTTTGTCACACTCAAGTGTTTCGTCGTTATTCACTCCAGAGGTTACTGCTACTCCCATTTTACCTTGTGATTGCAATTTTAATGGTACTCTTGAAAGTGGCTCTTGCAATGCAACACTTGATAAAAAATGCATATGCAAACATAATGTTGTTGGTGAATTATGTGATGAATGTGCTGATGGTTTCTTTGGTCTTCAGTTAATGGGATCATGTGAAGCATGTAGTTGCTGTTTGGATGGTACTCTTAGTTGTAATAAGGTATTAATGGTTTCTTTTATTTTATAATTATAATTTTTCTCCATAGTTAAATGGATCCTGTACTTGCAATGAGGGATATGGTGGCCCGCAATGTTGTCAGAGTATGTCTTGCAAATATTGAGCATTGTTTTATTTGTTCCTCTTTCTTTAGAGCTTGAAAGACAAGGTTGGAAATTTAATGGCTCCAGCTATCTGCAATACAGAACACAATTCAGACGCACCATAAGGAAAATGGTCATTGATGTCACCTTCAAGCCGTCTAGTTTATTTGGTTTAATCATGTTTGCTTCACGCTGGCAAAACGGAACTGGCTCCTATTTCTATATACAGCTAAACAATACTCTGCAATTTTCTATGAATATTGGGAATAGTGTGGTTTTACTAAGGTTTGCATAGCCTTTAACATTGATTATATTATTTTCTGTATTTTTATAGTTCACAGATGTCTAACATAGAGCTAGAAAAGTGGCAGAGCCTTCGAATTGTCTACTATGCATATAATCATTATGTGACAATGGAATTAAACAAACGTTTGGTGTCATTCACAACCTTCTTCTCAACACTATCAGGTCTCAGATTATCCAGTGGTTCGTTATACATAGGGAAAACATCTCCAATTGTTGTTAGTTCCCCAGCATCATTAGTCAAATCTGGTTTTAAAGGATGCATTGATCAGGTAATTCAAGCCACTTATTAGATTATTACTTCTCAATTACTTATTTATTATTAGATTAATATAAATGTGAATGGATATTACACTGTTGAGGCTATCACAGAGGCCGTTAATATCAAGAATTGCTACAAGAGTTAAAATCATAACCTTTTACCTTTAATATAACTTTTTAATAGGCTTTTTACTTTTTAGTTTTATTGTATAAGATCTATAGACTTATTTACCTTTTGCATCATTATTTTCTATAAGTTTTCTTTAATTAAACATAAAAAATAATAAGAGTTAGTTCAATTGTTATTATGTCATTGTGTGGTTTCATTGACTGTGTCTGTGGTCTAGCAATGGCGGCGAAGCGGGTGGTCCTAGAGGAAGAAGAAGAAGGACTGCTGAATGATCCCATTTCGCTACCGACTGGCTATGCAGCAAAGAAAAATGCCTTAGGGCGGAAAATTGGCATCACTAAACTTGTCTGTGCCATGTTTGCAGTCATCTTACTGTTATGTATGAGTTTTGGCATTGGCTTTGTTCTGGGGTGGAAACTTATGACCGAGGACTCTTCAAGTGGACCTCGAAGTGGACAGACTAATGACAACTGGGGAGGTACTGTCTCTGGCAACGAGAGAATCAGTCAATGGATACCTGGGAAAATAATCCCTGACAATATTAAGAATAATCTTAAGTAAGGAACTGAGTCAACCGAGTCTTAGTTTTGCCAGCCAGACTCCATTGGCATTGGGCCATGTAGTGTAGACGTACACCTAGTCATAAGGGCTTGGTGTTAGTTATGTGCAGTTATCTGTGGGTTTTGAGATAATTATGACTTGTGTTGGCCTCCTGCAAAAATTTGCTTGATCTAAATAATTATTTTACCTTGGAACTATTCATATAAACTCAAACTTACTGTAATTTTAAATAGCTAATTGTACCTACTTGTACGTGTCCATTCATCTTACTCTCTCTCTTCCCCCCTCTCTCTCTCTCCAGAATGATAACTAGTAAGCCACACATATCTGGCAAGGATGAGAATGCTAATGTTACTGATTTCTTATACAATACATACTCACAATATCAGTTTGATTCAGTGTACACGAGGAACTACAGTGTCCTACTCTCCTATGTTAATCGTTCAAACTACAATTCACTTCAGTTGCTGGATTCAACTGATAGTGTATTGTATACTGCTACTAGTACAATACAGGAGACTCCACTCACTGATGGAGAGAATGACACTAGTGTACCTCCTCCCTTTAATGCTTACTCTGCACCTGGTGAAGCTAAAGTAAGAACACATACATGTACGT